AGAGGAAGGGAGAGGGATAGAGAGTTAGAAACATTGATGAGAGAGAAACATTGATCAGCTGCCTCCTGCACACCTCCTACTGGGGATGTGCCCGCAACCAAGGTACATGCTCTTGACCAGAATCAAACCTGGGACCTTTCAGTCCGCAGGCTGACGCTCTATCCACTGAGCCAAACCTGTCAGGGCATGGATTTCTTTTTGTTAAAAATTTTTAAAAATTATAGTCAACATTCAATATTATATTAGTTTTAGGTGTACAGCATAGTAGTTAGGCACTTATATAACTTATGAAGTGATCCCCCCAAGTCTAGTTTCTTCCCCAGCCCCCTGTCAATCTCCCACCACACCCCCACCAGTGTGTCAGGGATTTATAGAATATCTTAGGAGAAGACTTATTACTGAAAATACCATTGCTAATGGTGGACAGTAAAATTTTGCCAGAAAAGGGGTAGATGATAGATGGGTTTGGAGCAACAATTGCTTTTGCAGGTTTTTTTCTGTATCCTTCTGTTTTTGGATTATTTCTTTTCTAAAATTCATGGGTAGATATTTGTTGATTGGGTATGTTTATTTAATAGAGCTTTTTGGAGGGTTTGTTCATGATAAGAACTATTGTGATTGTATTTATAAAGATACAATTTGAGTCCCGCTGGAGTGGCTAAATTGGTTGAGCGTCACCCAGTGCACCCAAAGGTTGCCAATTCGAGTCCTGGTCAGGGCACAGGCCTGGGTTGAGGGTTTTTTTGTTATTGTTGTGTTAATTCTAACCAAAGCATATTTTTTCCATTGATTTTGAGAGAGAGTAGAAGGGAGGGGAAGGGGGGAGAGAGAGAGAGAGAGAGCGAGAGACAGACAGACATGTCTTGATGTGAGAAAGACACATAGATTGGTGCTTTCTGCATGCACCCAGGATCCAACATGCAAACCAGGTACGTACTCATGATCAAGAATTGAACCTGAGACCCTTCGGTGAGTAAGCTGACATTCCATCTACTGACACCAGCCGGAGCTGGGTTGCAGGTTTAATCCCCAGTCGGGGAACATACAGAAGGCAACCTATCGATGTTTCTCTCTCCCTCTCTCCCTTTCTCCCTCCAAGTATGTACTTAGGTGAGGATTTTTAAAAAAATGAAGACATAATTTGACACCTCTATATAGCATCAACCCTGGTCAGGAAATAAGACTATGCATCACATGCACAATCATGAACTAGAAATCAAAGATACTGTACAAATGACCAACAAAAGTTATAAATGATAATTTGAAAAGACTAGTAAAATTGATAAATTTATTTGAGACTGTTCAGGGGAAGGAGAAGCATAAATAACTGATTCTAGGAATGAGGAGGAATATTGATATTATTTATAATTATTATAGTTGTTAAAAGATCATAGGAAGACACTTTATGTCAATACATTTTGTGCTAACATTTGAAATTACACAATGATCTCACTCTTCAACACAGATATAAAGTCTTTTTTGAGGGGCTCTTTTCTTTTTCATTTAATTTATTGTTGAAAGCATTACAGATGTCCCCACTTATTTCCCCCATTGACTCCCTCCACCCCGCTCTCATCCCCTCCCCAGGCCTTCCCCACACTATTGTCTGTCCATAGGCTATGCATATAAGCATATAAGTTCATTGGTTAATCTAGTCCCACCTCCACCCCCCTTTCCTCTGAAATATGTCAGTCTGTTGCATGCTTCAATGCCTCTTGGTCTTTTTTCTTTTTTAATATATATTTTTATTTATTTCAGAGAGGAAGGGAGAGGGAGAGATAGAAATGTCAATGATGAGAGAGGATCATTGATCAGCTGCCTTCTGCACATCCCACAGTGGGGACTGAGCCTGCAACCCGGGCATATGCCCTGACTGGGAATCGAATCTTGACCTCCTGGTTCATAAGTTGACACTCAACCACTGAGTCATGCCACCGTTCATCAGTTTATTTTGTTCATTAGATTCCTCATATAAGTGAGATCATGTGATACTTATCTTTCTTTGACTGCCTTATTCACTTAGCATACCGTATTTGCCGGCGTATAAGACGACTGGGCGTATAAGACGACCCCCTAACATTTCCACTCAAAATACAGAGTTTGTTATA